TGGAGGGGGGCACCGCACACGGCTAAAGATCAACTTGTGTGTCTTTGGGGTACCCCTGCCTCCGTATATAAAGGAGGGAGAGGGAGAGGCAGCCGGCCCTAAGGGGGCGCGCCATGGTGTGGAGTCCTACTAGGACTCCCTAGTCCTAGTAGGATTCCAGCTCCCACACGGAGTAGGAAAGGGGGAAGGGAGAAGGAGAAGGAAAGGGGGGCCCTTCTCCTAGTCCTAATCGGCCTCCTGCCCAAGGGGGGGTGCACCAGCCCCTTGTGGGCTGGTGTGCTTCCCTCTTATGGCCCATAACTTCTCCCGGGGGGTTCCGGTAACCTCCTGGTACTCCGGAAAAATGCCCGAACCACTCGGAACCATTCCGATGTCCAAATGCAACCTTCCAATATATGAATCTTTACCTCTCGACCATTTTAAGACTCCTTGTCATGTCCGTGATCTCATCCGGGACTCTGAACAAACTTCGGTACATCAAATCACATAATTCATAATACAAATCATCATCGAACGTTAAGCGTGCGGACCCTATGGGTTCGAGAACTATGTAGAAATGACCGAGACACATCTTCGGTCAACCAATAGCGGAACCTGGATGCTCATATTGGTTCCTACATATTCTATGAAGATCTTTATCGGCCAAACCGCATAACAACATACGTTGTTCCCTTTGTCATCGGTATTTTACTTGCCCGAGATTCGATCGTTGGTATCATCATACCTAGTTCAATCTCGTTACCGGCAAATCTCTTTACTCGTTCCGTAATGCATCATCCCGTGACTAACTCATTAGTTACATTGCTTGCAAGGCTCATAGTGATGTGCATACCGAGAGGGCCCAAAGATACCTCTCTGATACACGGAGTGACAAATCCTAATCTCGATCTATGCTAACTCAACAAACACCATCGGAGACACCTGTAGAGCATCTTTATAATCACCCAGTTACGTTGTGGAGTTTGATAGCACACAAGGTCTTCCTCCGGTATTCGGGAGTTGCATAATCTCATAGTCTGAGGAACATGTATAAGTCATGAAGAAAGTAATAGCAATAAACTAAACAATCATAGTGCTAAGCTAACAGATGGGTCTTGTCCATCACATCCTTCTCTAATGATGTGATCCCGTTCATCAAATGACAACACATGTCTATGGCTAGGAAAATTAACCATCTTTGACAACGAGCTAGTCAAGTAGAGGCATACTAGGGACACTTTGTTTGTCTATGTATTCACACATGTACTGAGTTTCTGGTTAATACAATTCTAGCATGAATAATAAACATTTATCATGATATAAGGAAATATAGATAACAACTTTATTATTGCCTCTAGGGCATATTTCCTTCATCATCGTGACGACGATCTACATCAACAACCTCACTGCCGTCAACACCAACTCTCTCCCCCTCTATGCAGCGGTGTAACACCTCGTCTCCCCGATGTACTTAAACATGGTGCTCAACAGTATATATTATTTCCCAATCATATGTGGTTATTCTATGATGTTTGAGTAGATTCGTTTTGTCCTATGGGCAAATTGATGATCGTGGTTGGTTTGGGTGTATATTTTATTATGGTGTTGTCCTATGGTGCCCTCCGTCTCGCGCAAACGCGAGGGGTGCCCGCTGTAGGGTGTTGCAATGCGTTCATAATTTGCTTATTGGCGGTTGCTGGAGTGACAGAAGCCTGAGCACGGATAAGTGGACTGTTGCGTGTGGGAGTAAAGCGGACTTGATACTTAATGCTAGGGTTGGGTTTTACGACCTTGATTATCTTTAGTAGTTGCGGATGCTTGCTAGAGTTCCAAACATAAGTGCATATGATCCAAGTAGAGTAAGTACGTTAGCTCATGCCTCTCTCTTATATAAAATTGCAAGAATGATTACCGGTCTAGTTATCGATTGCCTAGGGACAAATGACTTTCTTGTTGACAAAAGCTACCTACTATTATTTCCTTGCAATTTACTCGTAGTTTTATTCTCGCAAAGTACTTCTAGTTTTATTCTTGCAAACTTGTCCTATCACCTACCAAATAGTTTTACACTTGTTCTAGATAAAGCAAACATAAAGTGTGCGTAGAGTTGTATCGGTGGTCGATAGAACTTGAGAGAATATTTGTTCTACCTTTAGCTCCTCGTTGGGTTCGACAATTTTATTTATCGAAGGAGGCTACAAATGATCCCCTATACTTGTGGGTTATCAACCCCACCAACAAAGTGACAACGTGTTTGTAATTCCTTTACAGACCTATTTTGGAATTTTGAAAACCAACATTGCATAAGATGGTATAGCCTGTACAATTGATTTGAGTAGCACCTCCTTTGTTCGGTTGAAAGTTGCATTTCCTTCCACTCCATAATTCTTTTCATAACTCGATCCGCCAAAACCTGGAAACAACATGTCCTATCTAAACCCACAGGGAATGGTAAGACTAGATAAGTATCTGATAGTGCCTCGGTCGTCTAATTTCATACTAGCACGAATGCCCGTGCGTTGCAATGGAAGAGAAAATTGATGCGTTGCTTGTGCTCGTGCATTGCAAAAGAAGAGAAAACTGAGCTATACTCATGTTTAGCGAGAATTGTATGTGCAAACATAACACCCTATGTTCATATGAAGAAAACGATGGTTTGTGAAAATGTACACCACCACAATACAATGACACCATAACGGTTTATCAATAATTCAAAAACAACCTAATGTGATAAAATAATAGAATTCTAGAATCTCAATGCGTAGCACAGTAGGCCCCCTGCGCGGGATGTGGCCAACTCTGGCAGTTCTGCACTATCTGAGCGTTCATACGCAATGTTTTTGGCATCATTTGTAGCAATTTTTGCATCAAGACAAACTTTATTCATCACTTATATCAGTAGGAGGTGTATCTTAGCCTCAAGTGAGAAAAGAATGCAACTTTTTGGCCCAACAATGCTTTTAGGATTGTCGTTGAAGATAGAATCAATTTTAGGGCCATGCTTATAACGTTATCTTAGGCCTGGTCTCTCTAGGTATTTTATTGTACCTATCCATACAAGCATGCTATTTAAGGCATCATGCAACATGCATTCCACTAATTATGATCAATCCACTTGCCATACCATGCTCTCTTCTTCCGAATTCTTCTTTAATTCCCTTAAATTATGGGCGAATCCATTTAATTTGCTCGCACTATGCGCCAGCCTTCTTAATTCCTTTGATCATGGATGATTCGCTAAATTTATGGACGCCCTACACGGGAGCCTTCCTTCCCTTTCTTCATATTTTTCACACGCCGGCCAACTTAACCCCTAAAGCCCAGCCAACCCCACTACGCTAACCTAGCTCGATCCCATCAGCCTCCCGATCCCCATCTCCTCTCAGTGCCGTCACAAGGAGAGGCACAATGCCCGACACCCCTCAATCCAGCTCGCCGCCACCCTCGCGCATTCGCCACTTCGGTGAGGCTGCCGCCTCTCCGGCCTCTACTCTCATCCATTCGCCTTCTTCTTCTTTCCATGCTCCTCCTCCTCTTGTTCTATGCCATGACGCGCAGCTCCGACTGCCTCCGCCCATGGCGCCATCGCATGGCTCAACCCCGTCCGACACCACACTAGTGCCCTATTCGTCTCTTTTCATTAAACATCAACTCAGTTGCACCTCGACACCCTCCTCTTGCTGCATCATGCGACCACCATGGCCAATCTCTACCGCTCAAGCGCCATGCTCGCTCGAGCGCCATCTTTGCTGGATTGTGGGTTGAATACTAAAAAATTCATGGACCTTGTTGCAAGAATGAAACGTTTCTTAGATTTTTAGCCACTTAAAAAGGGACCGCGAGTTGAATACCCGAAAATGCAGGGTCCTTTGTAAGAACTAGACGTTTTCTCATATAACCACTTAAAATAGGACCGCAGGTTGAATACCAAAAAACTCAGAGACTTTTCTACAAAAATGCCGTGACAGTGAGCGGACAGAAGCAACCGTGCTTTATTATTAGGTAAAGCTAAAGATTATCCCGTAAAAAAGGTGAAGATAAAGATTGTTATGTTTAATTTGGTCAACAAGTGCAGAGTGGTTTCTATACGGCGTAGGTCGCCGGCTATCAACAAAGTGCGCACCCCCCCTCGAGCACTAGATTTTCCATGGGCCGGCCCATCGAACTCGGGATTCACCCCAACCGGTTTTGGGAAGGTTCTAGGACCTTCCCTGAACCAGTTTTTCTCATTTCCTTTTTTCTCTTGTTTTTTCTTTCTTCTTCTTTTGTTCCTTTTTCTATTTTCCATTCATTTTTTCTTTTATTTTTTGTTCTTCCTTTCCCTTTTCCTTTTTTTGTTTACTTGTTCACCATTTTTTTTGTGAATTTTCTTTTCAAATCCATGAACATTTTGTTGTTCATTGAACTCAAAAAAATGTTCATTTGAATTTAAATTTTGTTCATCGAGTTCAAAATGTGTAAATCAGGATTTTAAAAATGTTCATAAAAATTCAAATTTTGTTCATAAATTTCAAAATGTGCATCATTTTAAAAAATGTTCATCAAAATCGAAGTTTGTTAATTGATTTTTAAAAAACTCATCAAATTTAAATTTTATTCATCATTTAAAAAATGTTCATCAAATTCGAAATTTGTTCATCAATTTAAAAAAACCCATCATATTTCAAAACAATTCATCCATGTGTTTTCAACTTTTTCTCATCTAACTAATAAAATGTTCATCATATTCAAAATAATTTCACCATAATGTTTAAAAATGTTCGGTAAATTCAATTTTTTTCATAAATATCCAAATTCAATAGCCTTTTTTTGAAATAACGAACATTTTTTGAAATCATGAACAATTTTCCAAATTCGTAAACATTATTCGAATTCTGGGACATTTTCTGGCTTGACAAGCTTTTTTAAAATTCACATTATTTTTTGAATTTGAAAAGTTTTCGAATTCCCTAATTATTTAAGAAAAAAATGAAACAAGACAATAGGGGGCTTTCCCGCTGCCGCTTATGGGCCGACCCAAAATGGGCGCGCGGGGGCAGCCAGGGGTGCACGCGTCCACTCCGTGGCACGTGCTGCACCATATAGGAGGCCCCCACGTGCAGTGCCTCGTTACTAGTCCTTTAAAACTCCAAGCTCCCAAGGAATACACCGATGTGAGCACTCCAGGTGAGAGGGCTTCCTTGAGCGCTCTGGACTACCACATGTCAGACGGAAGGCGCGATGTCTCTCGGCTGGGACTAGACGGCTGGACCCCTCGTGTCGTTCGCGTATGACTTTGTGTCTTCGTGCCGATTTCGCGGCCCCAGCACACATGAAAAGATAATGAAAATGCGGTTTGGGGAAGCGAGACAACTGCGTTTGTGAGCTCCCATGGACGAAGGAAAATCCGGTGACTCTACATCAGACGAAGGAAATCATGTGCTACCCCGACCCCTTCGCCGTAGGTGCAGCCGCCGCGATCGCTCTTTCGCCTCCTTGCCAACACAGTATGGAGAGGAGGCGCTCGGGGAGAGATCCTTGATTTTGTTGCGTCGGCGGTCATGGGCGGAGCAAGATGAGCTCCACAATTCTCCCTCTAATCCTCTCTTGCTCGCCAAAGTTCCCCCACGGTCGTTTCATCCCCCC